CAGATATAGTTCTGATTGAATTCTTGCAACACTTTTGGATTTGCATCCTCCCAACACAGTGGCTGTATTCCCATAAGAGGCTTATTAACTTAGGTACTGAATTAACCCATTTTCTGAGATGGCCTTACATGCTGAATCACCAGCTGGCTAAATGACCTAGTTTGGCCTCACTCAAAGCAACAAAAGATAGCGTTCTTGTAGAAATCCACCTTCTCTCTGTGTGTGTTGTGTGAATACAATGAAAATTGGGCTGGGGCTGAGAGAAGTTTAAAATCATCAAGTGAAATAATATTTGCCATGTCCTCTTACCACATTTATACTGTTGACCATTTGAAAAACCCACGTTCTTAAACTTTCATTGTGCTTCGTGACCTACAGAAAAGATAAAAATGTTAAGATGAGATCATAATTATAGGAAGAAGGGAAAGAAGGAGGGAGAGAAAGAACATATCAGTGAAAGGATCATTGAATTGTTGATGTAATAATAATTTTTATCCAAGCAATCCAAAGTATTCTTTTGTGCTGATTTTTTTAATTTACATTTGTGCCATTAATATATTAAGGTTTTTAACTTTTCAGCAGCATACATGGGCTTTTTTTCCTGGTTGGAGAAAATTTTGGTCAGCCTACTGAAATGCTTTTCTAAATTGGATGCTATATTTCCATGTTCAGAGATGTGTGAGATAAGCATTTTTCACTACACATCTTTTTCTTCGTGTGTTGTCAATTTGGACAACCAAAGAGTGCAGGAATGTTTCAAAGAAACCTACAGAACTGTTTAACCAGTGTGGGATAAAAATAAATTTAAATGGAATCCAGGAAGAACAAATGTGCAAATTAGAGTATATTTACAAATGACTCTTAACTTTTTAAATATTGGTTGGGTCCAATAACAAAACATATCAAAGTTTATGATAAAGCACATTTTAAGAGAAAGCCAGTTAGGATGTTTATTAATCTCTTCAAAAATGTCCACATAAAAAAAGGCAGAAACAAAATGGTGTGCTCAATGCAGAAAGAAAATGGAAAGATATCCAGGATACTTACCATTCTGTAGTCCGCAACTATGACAAGCTCAACATATCTTTTGGTGAATCTTCGTTGCTAAACAGAACAATAAACAAAAGGCTTTTTAGACATGTTGCTCCCAGCAGCCAACAGGAACGCTGGTCACCATCAGATAATCAGAAAAGTGCTTGTTTTACTCTCTGGTCAAAATACTTGAACTTTCAGAAATATTGGTTCTCTTTAGAAGACATTTATAGGGAGACAGCTTGTTAAAATTTTAGCCCTGAGCCTTGAGCCCTTCGGAACTGGGACATGGAAGTGGCAGGTGAGCGCCTGCATCTCCATTTGCATGACCAACAAGTGAGCATGGGTGGGTGTGCTCCATTTGCATGAGTGGGTGCGTGTGCCCACTGCTCACACAAATAGAGCTGGGTGCATGCATGACCCCGCTGCTCACGTGGAACCATCCCCTCCCCCCCACCTGTATGTAAAGCTGGAAAGGTTGGGGGACCCTGACTTAGAGAAAGTACTGACAAAGTTTTGAGGAAAAAGTACATTATGCAATGGATTGTCAAGCACAAACAGAAGTGGTCACCTTAAAAAAAAATCACTTTCTTTGTATTAATAAGGTGTGGCACTTGTTTCCAGTTAATCTGTTTTTGGAATTTATGATGCCTACATTTAAAGATAAAGGTATATATGAATACCTAATTCTGAACCAAATTTAATAGGAATAAGAACAGGCACGTGAGGAAATTGCTCTCTTTGACCTGTTTTTCAGGCTGTCTAAATGATGCTCCAATGACTTTCTCACCTTTCCTTTTCCTTCTCAAACAAAGGATCCCAACCAATCACGTGAGAAACACGGTGATGTGGTCATTCTATGGAACCAATTAGACCTTGCCTGCAATCATATCACACTACGCATCAAAGACAAGGTAAGGGGAGGCAATCAGACATTTTGACCCACTGAACTCACTCTTAATGGCCAAATAATGATGCCTTTCTTTTGATATAATTTTAAAATGATTACTGAAATATTGTTTCAGACTTCTCAGGCACAAGGAACAAGAAAACATGGTTAATTGTTCAGAATTGTTTCTTTATTGCTGTTCTCGTATAGACAGAAATCTTTCCAGACTAAAGCACACTGTGTGTAACCATGAGATACACCCTGTGAAGGTTTTAGGGAGGATCCCTTCCGGGCTTCTTTCTGCCATCCAAGGACTCATTGCTGATCTGCCAAAGAGCCCCTCCCTCCTGCATTCCCCTGTTAGATTCCAACACTGGAGGACCCAGATTGCTCAGGAAGTAGACTTATGCTGAGACCTGAATGTGTGAGGGTGCATTACTTGCTTCTTTCCCTAGGAAAGTGTACTTGTGTTTTTTCAGCATACAGATCTACAAGGCCAAATTGCCAATTCCAGAGTGCAATTTCTCTCCTTGCTCTCTGACAGCCACTTTCTTAACTCTGCTGCACAAGACCAGTTTGAATAAAGTGATCATGATCTGACTTTGAGACAAGAACATTCGAGATAGAGGACCAATTAAGGATCAATTAAATATAATGTATATAAACACAACTTGCTAAAGATAAAGAATCTTGAATTGTCAGAAACACTGAAGCCAAAAGGCAAACCAGACTTCACAATCAATTTTGGCATCTGCAATTGTGTTTTGGTATTCCACGGTAACAACAACTGTTGCTCCATGTCAATTTTAACATTTTAATAAAAAAAAGTTGAGATTTTGAATTTCTAGATATTTCAGCCAGTTTCAATGTTTGTCACCAAAAGAAACTGTTACTTTGGATGAAATGTTTGGTTTTCTAATTCTTGTGCTTCCAGTAAAGGAGGAAAATATTGGGAGTATGAGGGTCAATTGTGACCAGATTTAATTGGTCACTTTTTCTTCAATCATTGTCAGTATAACTTAATGATTCAAATCAAACTGGAAAATGGAGTCAAAATTATATAATGGTCTTATCAAACATCTCAAAACAGTTAAATATTTCAAACCAGTTTCTCCCCCTATCCCAACTCCTCTCTGCATGCAAAAAGAAGCATCCAACATTGATTTAGAAAGTAGAGATGATTTGGATACTCATTTAAATCCATTTTGATTCAACTCTGTATGAACAAAGAAAATGCTATAAGCCTGGAACATGTATTTTCTGTTCATCATATTTCCATTATTTCTTTTATACAATGGCTAGAATAAAAAGATAGAAATGGGGGCTCCTCCCTTTGGAATTCTATCTAATCACCCCTCCCCAAAGAATTTCTCTCTTACTTTACATTTTAGAAACAAGTAAATGAATCCAGGTTCTCAAACAATGTTTGCTATGAGACTTACTTCAGCAGTAACAACTAACTTAGAGGCCTTTTTGATGGGCTCATCTGATTCCCAATTAGTCTGGGTTACCCCACACATTTTGGGGGCCTCATCCTCTTTTTCTACATTTTTGTATTTGTAGACTGCATGGGCTTCACTGTCGGGAAGCTTCAAGGGTTCAATAAGGTACATCTCCCCTTGAAGCTTGAAATGTCCTCTGTAAAACAATGTGGAAAAGGGTGATCAGAGATGGAGAAGCAACAGAAGAGAATATTGTTAGGTCAGAGATAACCTGCACTGCTGATGTTAGCTAGTTGGGTAATGAAATTCAGCTCTGAGACCCATTTTTAACTAACCAAGTCAACATTCCCTGTGTTTCTGAATCCCTTCTGAACACTCACTGATTTTTTAATTTTCTTTCCTCAGCACTCATATCCCTTTCTCATACTTCTCAAAGATACAGCTATGATCAGAAAGATATAAGAGATTGCACACACTCAATGCAATCATGAAATATTTGTACAGTATTTGTTTGGAGATATTTTTGCATTGAATACTTTTCTAGCAAGGTATGCAATCTGAAACCTACTTATTTTCTCTACCTGTAACATCACTTCCTATATGTAAAGGAGACAAGGGCTTGGAAGCTCCTTTAGACAGATCTGGTTTAGCTTCCTAGTGTCTCTACTGGCTGTCAGCAGCTCTTCTTGGTATTCAACCAAAGTCTTTCTTAATTCTGCAGAAGTCTTGGATCACACCCAACTCATTTGCATGAAAAACTGATGTCCCTCATTTTAACTGTGACAACTCCAAGAGCAGTATATTATTCTTAATAAAATAAATAAAAGATTAGAGATTATCTTACTTCAAACCATTGCATGCACTGATGCTTGCAGTTGAGTCAGCATCATTCTGGAGGCGTCCATGATAATAGCAGTGATCCTGGAGGGAGGCAAGAGGACTACACTGGTTAAACCTGGTTTGTAGTGTGATTTGATGAGCAGAAGTACAGTTCCAATGTATTCCACCACATCAATGAAATATTAAGACAGCAATTATTCAGCTTATTTTGATTCAGGGGGAAAGAAGACCTAGGATAAATGCAAGTCTCCATAAATCAATTCACACTCTAGGGGGAGTCCCACTTATAGCACAAAGCTAAGAACTTTTGGGCAGACAACCAACACACAAATATAAAATGTTCTCTGGGAGGTCAACTCTAGTGCTGAACCACAGGATTTGCTGAAGAAACTTTCTGACTTGATGGTTGTCCTACGTTCTGAAATCTTACCATAATGTATGGAAAATTCCACATTTACTAATGATACCAAATAGTCATTATTTCCTTGAGCTCACACAAGGAAAGTTTCAGAATATACAGGGAGGTATAATTCCTAGCATTATCTGGAAGCCGGATCCATGTAGAGATTAAAATCAAGAGATTTCTGCTACACACTAAATAGGAGTAATTTGTATGACCTTTGAAGATGCTAAGCCAGAAGTAGATATTTTTTGAAGACAGAGGATGCATGTTTAGATCAATTTGGGGGCAAGGAGCCAAGGACTTCACGAAGTATGTTAGTGCTGTAATTTTTTTGCAGCTGGTAGGGCCACATTCTGGACCATTTTAATATGAAAGATATTATATGGATTTCTGTATAGGAGCAAAGTGAATTTTTATCATTTTTGGTATTACAAATAAAAGACTTTGCATGTATCCCTGTAGTCTGGTTTAAAAATGAAAATATAGATCTTGTAAACCTGATGTTCTCATAATAAATCTATTTGTGAAACTCACTCCCAAAATGATGGCTTTCAACCAGTAGGAAAGAACTGGATGATTGAAATACTGCCATAATAATTCAACGAGTAAAACAAACTGGGTTTAACAATCCATACATCCTTATAACAACATATCAATATAAGATATTTCATACATTTATTTTATTTATTTATTTATTCAATTTATATCCCGCCCTTCTCCTTACCGGACTCAGGGCGGCTGACAGTCTTATAAAACCAATACATATATAGCCCTTCTTTTTTGAGTAGCCTGGTCTCGTTCTTGTATATTTGTAATATTGTGCACAAACATTTGTTTCAATTTACTTCCTAAAAGCAAGACTCTTAAAAGTGAGACCCTACCTCAACCGAGGGGTATGTTGTAATTTCTCTGCCGTCAGGGGAATAATGAGTCTCGCTGTAATCTTTTGAAAAAAGTCCTCTGCAAAGAAGAGAATATCTATGTCAGGAATTAAGTAGGACTGAGATAATTTTATAATAAATTTACAATTTTGTATAATGGCATTTTAAACAACTTCTTTGCTATCAAAAGAATAGAGCAGGTATTTCAATCCCATGGCTATTTAAGAGGAGGGCTGCGCATACTAGATTCACCCGAGGATAGAGATTTACACCAAGGAAGCTGTGCAATTCTCTTCATCAAGGCTCAGAGGAGAATGATTGACCAGGAGAAGACATTTTCTATTACGTCTTCTTTTTATTCTTCTGGTCTATGCAACAATCTGATGAATCTGCTTGGTCTATAAAGGAGAGCAGTATAGCTCTATTTACTAAAGAGTAAAATGAAGCAACCTCAAGGAAATGGATGCCTTTGAACCTTCATACAGAAGCATCTCTCTTGAAGCTTTAAACCAATGTATGGAGTCACTTTCCATTCTATTCACTTGGCATTGCCTTCTATTTTGCCAATCTAGATATTCCTTGCTAGTCTTCCCTCTCTAGTCCTGCTTTGTTTCCATGCCAAAACAAGACCATCCAGATGCTAACTTGAAATTCCGTGCAGCCTTCATATTTAAACAAAAGAAAAGGGGACACTAGAACTTCTAAAGCACACATTAGAATTCAGCATGAAATGTCTCCAGTGGTATAGGATAAATTGACACACAGATAACCACATATAGGGCAATTTCTTTGTAGCTTATACCTCACTGGAGGTTTTCAAGGAATGATTGGACAGCTATGGAATGGTATAGTCTCCTGCTTGAGCAGGGGGTGGACTAGAAGGCCTCCAAGGTCCCTTCCAACTATGTTTGTCTTTTGTGCTGAAAAATAGTTTTATTCCATTTCTGTGGCTTATATTTGCATAATATTTTTATTCATATCTTGATTTACATGTCAAATGGAACACCATTGAGAAGATCCACATGGCATTCTTTAAAAAAAATATAGGGAAATCTGGGCTTGTTTCAGTCATGTCTCTTTTCGGTCCTTAATAGGAGATGACATTTCCTGCCTTTCATGCTTCAACATATAAATTGTGATGTAAGTTGAGCAGCTATGCAGGTCTCATAGGAAATGTTATTCAGATTGACGGGGTATCTGTGAAGCTGCATAAGCAATCTTTTTTGAATCTTTGCAATCATAACTAACCTAGTTAATTCAAGTGATAGAAGGTTATGAACCTTGAATGGTTCAATTTTGTCTAAAATTGTTATGGTCCAGCAGTGTACCCCAGGAGAGCAAGAATAAAAATCTCTTAGATTGTTTCCAGGAATATACATTTTTCACATTGTCCAAGTAAAGTTAAGAAAAAGTCTGAATTAAAATACCTATTTTTTTCCAGGCGAAGGACCACTGGCTCTCCATTCACCTTAAATTCATATTGCATGGTGTCTTCATACTAAAAAGCAAAGAGTTCAGGCTTCACTTCTTAAAAAATTAGGCAAATAAAATGTGTACCCTCTTAACAACTCTACACCTGTTATTTAAATCTAATGAATAATTTGCCATAGCCAAATTATTCATTAGATTTAGAGTATTTCATCTGGTGCTTTGAACTGTAAGATCATAAATTAACTTTCCTGCATAAGTTCAAGATCTCATTTTCTAATTGAACATCTTGGTGAATGAGGTTGAGCTGGGACAGAGACTGGCTCAAAAGTCATCCAGTTATAGACTTGAATCTGATTCTCAGAACTAATCTTGAGCTGTAACCACTATACCATGTTCACCTAAAAACACATCTTTTACATTTCAAAGTGATGCATTCTGGGAAGCTAGAAAGGATAATTTGAAATCTCATGGTTCACAGTTGTCACAGCTTTTATGAAGGATGACCCAAGAGTACAAAAAAGAAGAAGAAATCCCTCAAAGTTGCCTCAAAATTTATGTTAGGTACAAGTAACCAGGTCCACACAAGAAGAGTTTAAATTAAGCACTTTATTGTATTCTGCCTATAATACAGGAATCTCCCTAGACTGCTTCCCTTCTCTTCAGAACAGATAGATTTTATTTATTTTCCAACTTCCAACTTCTATGCCGCCCTTCTCCCCACGGGACTCAGGGCGGCTCACAGCATATTAAAAAGCAACACAAAAAACATTTCCCCTATAAAACCAATTAAAAACCAAATATATTTATGGCTGTGTCATTATTAAAATCTTTAAAAAAATTTTCCCTATTTAAAATTCACCCTAGGTCAGTCCCGCTTGTTGAAAAAGCCATGTCTTGAGGGCGCGGCGGAAGGTTAGGAGATCCGGGATCGTCCGGATCTCGGGGGGTAGTTCCTGGGGGGGGGGAGAGGATGTCATTCCTGGATCTGTTGCAGCTATGAAATGATTCAAGTCTAATTCTCTACTTGATCCCTCCTCACTGTACGGCTGGTTGTCTCCCAACGCTTTATTAGTTATACTAACCTATTAATATTAGGAAATTCTGTTTGTGAGTTGCCAGGAGTCTCCTCAATTTGGTATAAATTTGTTTAATAAATAAATAAATAAATAATGCAAGAAGGAACGTAAATTGCAATCCAAAATTCAGATAACCGTTAGATGGCAGCAAAGGAATATCAAAATTTCTGTGGGCTGACAAGAAATAATTTGTTGATGAAACAAAGATCTTTTTCTTACCTTTGGCTGAACGGCTCCTTTGGGCAATGCACTGACTTTTCGTGGATACACGACTTCATAATCATCAACGTTCCCAGATTCCAGGATTATAGAGCTCCCTTCGTAAGGAAAAAGAAAAGAAAGGTTTGGTTTACTTTGGGATGTTATTCTACCATTTTCACATCCACAACACAATTTGTTATTCAATTATCAGTGAATTATGGAATCTTTTTCTAGTAGGACACAGAACAGAAATCCAGATTTTCTCTGGGAATGCAATTTGCTGAATAATGTTTGGGAGATGGAAGTCTAAGTGGAGACATTGCTTTGGGCAGGTGCAAAAGAAACATTTTGGAGCTTGAATAATTAGAAGAAAAAAATAAATCTAAACCAATGTGCAGGTTTGTGCACTGAGTGATAAGGATAACACCAGAAATAGTAAATCAATATAATGTGATTCATACAATTCAGTAAACCATACTGCATTATGGTTTAGCACATCCATTAGTCAAAAAGCTAGGCAAACTTAAATTTTTATGCAAATGCAGCTTATTAGGAATTCCTTTCAGTTGAACTGCTATTTCACTGCCATCCTAATAGTTTTGCTGATTTTCCTTTCTTTCACTTTTAAAAGAATCTATGGACAGCGCACAGCATCATAATTATCACTGGAGCAGCTAAGAACATGTAAATAAGTAGTGATTTCAAAATTAGACCAATGGCTGAAATATTTAGAGTTGGTCCCCATATGGTCATTGAATGGTCACCTGCTATTTGTTCCTTAACTTATTTTGTAAATGTGGAAGTCTGACACCTGCAGGTCCTCTTGGGTGCACAATCACAACTGAGACCAAGATTTGTTAGCAGAATAATGGAAGGGAGGGGGTATGGTTGTGCTTATAGTTGCAAGTGGAAACAAAACAATAAACTGAAATATCAATAACCACAGGGTATGGGAAAGAGACTGCTAGCCAATCACCTAGAGAATTGAGAGAGAGAGAGAGAGAGAGAGAGAGAGAGAGAGAGAGAGAGAGAGAGAGAGAGAGAGAGAGAGAGAGAGAGAGAGAGAGAGAGAGAGACCTGGAAATGTGTCTTCTCGGGCTGATGGGCAACCCCAGACAGAAGAATACATCTTCCTCATACCTATTTATGTACCTACCCATTTGTACCTGATGCTCCCAGAATCATGGGAAGTGTTCAACTCCACCTACTAGCAAGCAAGCTTACTATTCCTCTCTTGCTTAGAGCACAGAACAAGCAACAATTTCCCTTCCATCTCCCTTTCTTCTTTCCTATATTGTTCTCCATAAATTACTTCTGGTAAGGGCATCCCCACCTTTCCTTGCTATTAAAAAAACCAAAACAGGGCTACCGCACTGAGTCTCTGATCCTTAATTGTGTTTGGCAACTTCTGAATCAGTTGAGTATCGTTGTTTGTAATGATATGTGGGAATGACTTGGGAGACAGGAAGAAGAGACATAGACTGGTCAACTGGCATGGAAAAAGTATCTCAGCCCACAGAAGGAAGGAGAACTTGGGAAGAATTTCAGAAGGGAACCTCCCTGGTTTTCTGCAGAGTAAAAGGAAAGGAGGGAAGAAATAATTTAAGATAATTATAAATCTTGCATCGAGAAAAGTTAGTGTCATATTATCTTGAGTACAGTTTGAAGATTCTCTGTAACAACAATAGCACTAGCTTTTGTTTGGCTGAATATTATGCATGCTAAATTACAGGATATCTAACTGACCTATTGAAAAAAAATTAAAACCGAAAACACTTTATTTTTCTTTAACATTTTGCTTTCTGAAAATTTCTTGCCACAAACTCTGTCTCTCTCTGTCCTCTTCAGTCTTCTAATCCTTTTTTTAAAACTCACATCATTGGAAAACATTCTCTCCAGCCTGAGCGTGCTTTTCTTCTGAAGATCTTAGGACTTTTCTTTCTTAGGATCTGCTCGTGGCTTGAAAAAATTTAAGCAAATACCAAGAAACCATTTATGTAACTTTAGAACAAATGTGATCCTTGAGACCATTCTTTTGCTAAATCTGTAGAAACTGAAGTGGAGCAAATTTTGACTAATTGTCAAAAATAATACCCCAAACAAAACCCATCAACATAGCAATCTGTTGAGTGCAATAGTCTTTTAGCAGTAAGAATCTGAACAAGGGAACCAAAGAGAACATCTTACCTTGATAAGGAAAGACTGCTAAGCATATAATTACCAAGAGAACCTGGATCATTTTGGAGGCTGGATTTGGCTGGAAGACAGGCAATCTCTTCCTGCTTTCAAGCCAACCTGAGCTCTTCCTCTGTTGACTATGAGAAGCAAGGAATGAGTCCTTCAGCTTCATTCATGCCCTCATATGAGAAGGTGTTTGCTAAAGGATTTGCACAAATTCTGAGTTGTAACAATACTANCATGTCACTCCAAAAATGACAGCTGAAAGGGTTCGTTCAAGGCATCCCCAAAGGAAAAGCCCAAAGGAGGCTATTAATTGGTCATAGCAGACCTTTCCCTGGCTCACCTGTTAATACAACTGAATTTGGGGCCTCTGGTGCATGGGGTCTTAAATGCCAAGAGTTGGTTTTTACAGTATTTTGTGAGTAAGAGGTACTTTGGGAGCAATCTAGCCTTTCAATATTGCTAACATTGCCTGAATCCATGTCAATGCATTTGCCTAAGGGATCCCTGATTTCACTAAGGGGAAAAAATCCCCTCTGTGTCATACTTGATTCTCACTTTGTAGAGAACTCAAGAACTTCTGTTGTCTCTTCATATAATTCCTTCAACAGCCTCTCCATTTTCTGAAACAGGGGATTTATATGTTGATGCAAATGTCAGCTGCAATAATGTGCATTCAGAGTGTGGACAATTAATTGGTGGAATGGTTTGCTTTCAGAAGTTGTGGGTGCTCCAAGATGGGATGTTTTTCAGAAGAAATTGGACAACCCTTTGCCTGGAATGGTATAGGATCTCCTGCTTGATCAGGGGGCTAGACTAGAAGATCTATATGATCCCTGTTATCCTGTAAGGGCCATTTAAAAAGGAACTATGAGATGAATCACAGAGCAGAGTGAATCATTTCAATTGCCTTAAGAGGACCCACTTTCCCTTATAATCTCTTCTTTTGTCTCCACCTGGGATAGACATCTATGAAGGCACAATAAAGACAAGTGTGGAAGAAGGGGCACTACCCACCCTCCTGTTAAAGGCAAAGCAGAAATCTTTGGTGAATGAAAAGGAAATGAGGAAAATCTACTTTTGATTAGTTTGTTTGGCAATTTTGGGGGAAAGAAAGCCCACAGTAGAAACAGCAGCTTCATTCCAAGAGGACAAGGCAAAATAACCATCTCTTCATTTAGAAACAAGGAGGCATGGGAGCCTTTGAAAGTCTCTTTGGTGGCCAACTTGGTTTCTTTCAGAACTTCTGCCCTTACCATCACCAGCTTTCCTCTCTTGAAATAACTCCAGACTAATTAAAATGGCAAAGCCTGTTAAGGGAAGAGCTATAAAAGTAGCACCAAGCCATATCTTATGCTGAATTTAGCTTTTTCTTTTCAAGGGGAGGATAAATGATAAACGAGAATTACAATGTATGCATGATGTATACCTCCTTTTAATGCTTTTCTTATCTCAGTTTGATGCTGAGTTTGATCTAAAATTTCTAAATTCTTCTTTCATAATAGAAAAAAGGAAGAAAAGCTTTCCATTTCAATCGCCTTAAAAAAGAGTTACCCAATCAGCGTCCTTGAAGTGAGAACATGGTTCTGGTTTAAAGTGATCAAAGAATGAAGAGAAATGCAGAATTCCAGGATTGAGGTCCTTCCTCACAGCTGCTACTCAGCTGAACAACCTCACTCTCCTCCATTCATTTGTCTCTCTGTAGCTCTATATTTTACTTCTGAAGGAGAGATCATCACTCACATCAGTAGACAAGGAAACTTCTAGATCCTCTCACTTTTCTCCCCTAGGATAATTGTTCTTCATTTCCAGGTGATTCAGATTAATTCTTTTTAAATTATTATTGTCTGATCTCAGTTTTCCTTTCTCTGAATGTGGCTACATTTGCGGTATTATTTATGAAAATATGCTCTATTTGGACTGCAGATTTAGTGGAGAATGAGTGGGCACCCATATAATTTTTCTAATTAAATAAATAAATTCTCAGAAATCCCTTCTTGAACTACTCTGCACATCTTCTCCAAACAGTCAGATATCTCAGTCACACAAGTATTCCAAAATTCAGAAGGACCTTATCCCTAGCGCAATTCAATGTCCTCCCAACAGCAATTCCTGAAGAGTATAGCAAAAAATCCCCTTCTGTCCATGTGGTAGAGGAATTATTGAATTGATGGAACATGTTATTCTCTAATGTTCTCTCTATGCAGGTGCTTGCCAAGAATTATCTCTATTATTCACTAAATAATCTGGTCATTCTGATTTGGTTTATTTCAAGATGTTGTTATTATAATTATTGGATCAATCTTATTTTATAATCTTGACCATAGCCAAGTACTGTCCTATAATTTGTACAGGATGCCATATTTACTCTAATCCTTTTTAGATATTTTAGAACAATTATATTTTCCCATTTTATCCAATTTAACTTTGATTTGTGTATTGTATTTACTGGTCACTTATTATATATTGTCATAATCTAGGAGTTATTAGGAACTAAATCAAATAATATTATCTTGGTCAAAGAAAAGAAACATAAAGAGAAAACTCATCAATGTAATCTAAGAAAATTGCTGCAGAAGAGCTATATTCAAGAATCTCTTTTATTCTCTGACATTAATCTCCCTCATTTCCTCCATGGAGCTCAAGTGACATCACTTCTCATTTTATCCTCACAGCACCAATCTTGGGAGTTAGTCTGGGCTAAGAAAAATAATTGTCCAAAGTCATCCAGTGAGATGCATGGCAACTGGAGACCTAAACATGGCTGTCCTGAGTCCAATCCAACTTCTTAATTTATATCACACTGGCCCTTGAAAAAGATTCCAAAGTAAAATAAATGTTAAAATTCATTGGAAAGTCTAGAATAGACCTTGGTAGATTTGCAGATGAATCAAAGCATGCTTGGATCATTCTTTCTTTTTGCATGTTAAACTTAAAAAAAAAGTTAGTGAGAGAACCTCAGAGAAGTATTTTCTCCAGGAAGTTAATATCCGTTTCACCCCACTCATCAGTTGATTGAAACTTCTTTACAAGGCAAGAAAAACTGAAAATATTTTTGTGGGCACAGACTTTGCAAACTGAAAGCCCTCCTAAGTCACAAGGTCAATAGAAAAGGAAGGAGAACAAGGTCTCATTTGTCATTCATGAGCTGTCAGTAAGATGTTTTCATCTGGATAAGAGGAAGATGTTTACTGTACACGTGAAGAAGTGTTTTCTTGCCAAGCCACAATATTCCATAACTGGCAGCAGCCATTTCAAATACACTTATAGCATTGTTGCACTGGGATTAAAGTCTTATTTTTCTTGGAAAGTAGGCATCAAAGAAAGAAGGGCCAGATTTAAGTCTTTGGAAACATGACCTGTCCCTGGAGACCTCTGAATATCAGCACTACCCACATTATGCAGCTCCCATTGTATAATTACAGACCTGTTGTCAGTTGCAGATAACCAAGAGCAATCATAGAACATAGAACAATGGGGTTGGAAGAGACCTTGGAGGTCTTCTCTTCCAAGCTCTGCCCAGGGCAGGAGACTCTATACTGTTAGAGACAAATGGCTGTCCAATCTCTTCTCGAAAACCCCATCTGAGCCTAAAAAAGTATTTCACTATTTGAGAAAAATTAATGCTCATATAATCTGTCTTCAAGAAACACATATTAAAAACAAGTCCAGAAATATTTAACAAATGAAAGAGGATGGGGAGGATTTTATATCTGCTGGGCTAAAAAAGATTAATGGAGTGGTTTTATATATAAAATGCCAATTTAAACCAAGGGCACTATAATCAGATGAATATGGTAGATTTGTAACGGTGGAAATTTAATTTAATGGAACAAAATCAATAGTGATTGGTCTTTATGTGCCAAATGGGGAAAAAAAGCAATTTCTTTGAGTACCTTATGGACCAACTCTCGCCTTTTTCATATGAAAATTGGCTTATGTGGGGGATTGTAATGGTGTGACTGCACCACTTTGGGATAGAACATCTATTTAGCGGATCAAACACTCCCAGGGTAAATTGCCAAAGACATTCTTTGAAATGATGGGCAATCTAATGCTAGTAGACTCATGGAGGCATAAAAAAGGCTCTGCAAGAAAATATACCTTTTTTTCAGAAAGGCACAAATCATTTTCAAGGATTGACATGAGATGGACCTCTAAAAACTTAGCAAATAGAAGTTTGAAAGTTGACATCCTATCTAAATATTTTTCTGACTATACTCCAGTTGTTTTGGTACTTTGAAAAAAGAGTTTGAGTTATAGATGGAGATTAAATGAATCTATTTTGCAAAAGGAGACAATTGTAAAGGACCGTAAAAAGAAATTACATGACTATTTTGATAATAATCTAGGCAAAGGGACAGACCTAACAACTACCTAGAAGGGTAGTAAGGCAGTTATGAGGGGTTATTTTATACAATATAATCAGCTAGAGAATAAAAAATCTCTGGAAAAGACCGAAAAGATATTTCATGCAATCAGACAGAAAGAAATTGAATTGCAAAATTCACCTATGGACTCTAAAATTTTACATCAAATTAATTTATTATGCCAAGAACTGTGTATGTTAACAATCCAAGAAATAGAAAGAAAATTAAGTTATGTGAAGCAAAGACATTTCGAGGTTCTAAATAAACCAGGGAGATGATTGGCATATAGATTAAGGCAGGAGAGGAAAAAGAGAATGATTGAAAAAAAATGTTAAGGTAACAAAGTAATAACTGATAACGAACAGATTAAAAATATTTTCACAATTTTTATTCTAATTTTGTAAGATGCAGGAGATAGATTGGTCAAAAATAGATGAATATTTGCTAAGACAAAACTTACCAAAAGTTTTGTCAATTTATGAATGACCCAATAACTACCTTTGAAATATCTGAAGCTATAAGATAAATAAAATTAGGCAAAGCCCCTAGCCCAGATGGATTTACAAGTCAATATTATAAATGTTTTGAAGATGAACTTCTGCAGCCATTAAAGAATGTAATGAATGTTATAGTACTAGGGGGAAAGATACCCCCAACTTGGACAGAAGCTAATATTGTGTTACTTCCAAAGGAGGGTCAGGATGCTATGTTGATAAAGAATTACAGACCAATCTCATTATTAAATTAGGATTATAAACTATTCGCTGCAATTTTGGAAGAAAGACTAAAAAATTTTTTTAGAGGCATATATTCATGACGATCAAGCTGGCTTTCTGCCAAAAAGACAGTTAAGGAATAATGTGAGTATAGTTTTGAATATTATTGAATATTTACAATATTATAATGATAACAGGCGGCTTTAATATCTTTAGATGCTGAGAAAGCCTTTGACAACTTAAATTGGGTCTTTAAGTTTAAAGTCCTGCAAGAAATGGATTTTAGTGGGAATTTTATTCAAGAGGTCAAAGTTGTTTACACATCACAACAAGCAAAAATTGTTATTAATGATGATCTAAGGTATAAATGTTAAGAAGAAATTTTATAAACGGAGGGCCTTTGCTGATGATTTGGTGATATTTCTGCAAGACCCAAAACATAATATAGAATATTTGATGAGGAAACTAAATGAGTTTGGGTCCTTGGCTGGTTTAAAATAAACAAGCAGAAAACATCAATGCTGATTAAGAATATGACCTCACAGGATGGTGATATACTGACTGAAAAAGTTTGGTTTTAGGGTTGAGAAAAAGGTGAAATATTTGGGGATTATGTTGTGGTGGTACTGATTATTCCACATTGTTCAGTTCTACAAAGAGGTACGCTGTAGTCTACTTTGTCAAATGCCATATTGAAGTCTAGTAAAACTATCTCCACCATTTTTCCCTTATCCACTGATTTAGTCATTTTGTCAAAGAAAGAAATAAGGAATGATCTGTTTTTGAAAAACCCAGGGTGGCTTCCATTAATTCTGAAAGGAATTAAGAGCTGCTGAACTGGTCAGCTATACTGGACTTAATTCTTACTAACAAAGATAGAATGATAGAAGGTATTGAAGTTCAGGAATTTTGGCAGAGAGTGACCATATCATGCTGGAATGCAACACCATGCAGGAACATTTAATTAAAGAAAGCCATTGAAGTCAAGGCACAAGGTTTATGCTTGTTACTATACACTAGAATCTAGTCAACTAATGGCCAGTGCTTAGATAAGAGATAAGGGTCAATGCAATTCATGGAGGGCTGGAACTGGGTCTCTTGTGGCAATGCAATGACTTCAAACTGATGTCAGATTTAACTCCACCACCCAGCTTTGTCTGTTATTCTCCTATATCTGTATGATACATGGCCAAATGTTTTGTTGTTCATTTCTGGATTTCATTTATATTTTATTGTTTTTTTTATAAATAAGTCAAGGTCGTGCAGATGCCTAATATTCTTTCCTAGTCCTATTTTCCCCAACAAGAACCCTATGAGATCAGTTGAGCTGAGAAAGAAGCCCAAAGTTAACCAGTTGACCAGCATCTTAACCACCACACCAAACTGGCTCTTTATGACTCCATTTCTTACTCATTTTGCTAATGAATCTCTCCCCCAATTAGAACTACCCCTAACTATATCCATTGATTTTCACGAGTTTTGACTGCAGCTATGGGCATCTGCAGGGAGGGTTAATAAAAAAAGTGTCAAGATGGTGGCCACAAAGCCTTCTCTCTTTCATATTGGCAGGTGAAATGTGTGCATCCTTGACTGCCACTAATTCTAATGTTGCATAAGCCCCATATGACTCTTTAGAGCTTTGGAAGATAAAATCAAAACAAGCAGAGAAAACAAAGAAATAAAGAAATAGATCAGGGAATTAAATGGTTCCTTTCTACATTCTCCTTGGCACTGATCTCCTTTTAATCTTCTTTAATCTCATTTTGTCTGTTACTTTCAATCAGATGCTGGCAAGACACAAGGCAAAAGAACTGTCAAAGAATTATTATGCTTAACCTTTTGGCAATCGGTTATTATTAATGTTATTAAGGTTATTTTTTTAGGATGCAGGCTTTGCTACTGTAAAGCAATTGTTTTACAGTGCTGATACTACTGCTGTTTTTAAGCAACTGTTGCTCATGAATACTGTGGGGTCCTTTTGTCTTGCAGACATTTCATTACCAAACTAGGTAATATCATCAATGCTGGAAGTGAATGGGATTTGCTCTCTATTTATATACAAGTGGCTTTCCTTATTGCTATTGGTGGGAAGCTTTGTAGTCCCAAGGTCTTTGCCGCATACCATTACTGTTTCTGATTCAAAGGATACTAGATACTGGAAATGCCACTCCTTCCTATTTTCTTCAATCTTATCCTGCCTGTCATCAGAACAATGTGTGTAAAAGTACATCTGGCAACAGAAACACAAAGTTTACTGTCTTTCCATTGGCAAAATCCACATAACTGGTGAGCTTCATTTAGTTGTCTTGTTCCCAAAATCTTCTGGCCAAATGTGAGATGAAGAACTATCAAACAATGTTACCAATGCATTAAAAAAACATAAATGTTTCCCCTGCCAGTTGTGTCTGACTCTAGGGGGGTCCCTGTTCATCTCTGATTCACAGCTGAAGAGCTTCTGGGGTCACATGGCCCTCATGAATATATGCAGATAGAAAACAAATATCTAGAATGTGTTTAAGGGTGCAGTTGAGACTCATGCACAGTAGGAATCTGCGATTGGGATTTTCCACCTTTTTGAATCCAGAGAATCTTTACTAGCAGTCAGCATTTAGAATTGTCATAGAATCATAGGTCTGGAAGGGACCTTGGAGGTCTTTTAGTCCAACCCTCTGGCCAAGGCAGGAGACCTCATACCGTTCTGGAAAAACAAATGCCTTGAAAAGCTCCAGTGATAGAGTTTCCACAGCTTCTGGGGTCAAGCCATCCCACCCATTAATGGTACTCACTATCTGTGGAGATTCTATGGAGGTTCATTATCCTGTTTCTCTCTTTTCATTTTATTTGTGTTGACAAATGAAAATAAATATTTTTTTAAAAAAGAAAATGTTTTGCTTCTTATCCAAGAAGCTTCTTCAGTTCTTCACTTGGATGAGAAGTGAAAGATTTTCAAGAAAAAAAAACAACCAAGAAGGTTCACCTGCCTTTTGAAAAGCACCATTGGAACTGTGTTGCATGCAATATGTAGATTTCTTTATTGTTAGGGGCTCCTTCTGAAACAATATACTATCTTTTGAATTTTCTGGATGACTGTGAATAAGTTCCAATAATGCCAGTAGATAATTCTCCTGATGGTTTACCTCAGGATTGCATGCAAGTTCTTCCTGTGGTTTACTCCAGCAAACCATATTTGAAAGACGAGCCTTTACAAAATGCAGAATGAGAATAGTGAGTTTATTGATAGAAGCAGCTACATCTTGGAAAGCCAGCATGAATTTTGGGGAGAGGAAACATTGACTTTGAATACACCAGCTCAAAAGGCAGAACTTGTTGCATTAAATGTGCTCTGGAATTGGGAAACGGTAAAATGGCCATTTTTTTTCTTGACAGCAAATAAGCTCTTGGTGTTGTACATGCCTATGGAGCTTTGTGACAGGAAAAACGTTTTGTTACAGCAATAGGTAAACAAATTAAATATGGAGAAGAAATATTACAGAATTTGGATGCCATCTGTAAGCTAAGGGTGATTTACTAGTAGGATGCAGAAGGAAGCCAAACCTTCTGGAAGAAGGATCTCCAAAATCAAATCTGAGAGAAGCCAGAGGTTGATTAGTAGGCTATATTCAGATCAACACACTCCCCGTTGCTGCAGACCTGAAAGTCAAAGCAAGAGATTATCAGTGGAGTAAGACAGCACCTTCTGAACTAACTGAAACCTCTTTCAGGTTCTATATAGTATAAAAATCAAGGGGAAGTGACTCCTGATCCTTTAAGGGAAGCTTTGGGATTGCTTCATTGTTAGGTCACAACCAGCTCTGCCCTGATTTTCTCATTTCTCTCTTCCACCTTCCCTATGGAGATGCCTACAAGTTCAGAGAAAGGACTGTCTCTTGACAGTCAGTCCAGAAGATACGGCGAGAGAGAAGCACAAGGCTCTGAGAAGGCCAGGCGTTTTGTTCTTGGAAGAAAGAAACAGCCCTGGACATTCACCTCATTTGTTGTGGTTGCTGTTTGAAGAAAAAACAAAATAACAACAATGAAAAGAAGGCTAGATGGATACTTTTTCTTCTGTATAGATTCACAGCTTTCAGCATTGATCGATTGCAAAAAAAAATTAGTGGAATCAGACTTTAGAGCACACATATTAGAGGTAATCTTTTACTAACCATTCCATCTCCATTGTTGTTTAGGCATGGAAGAGATTCCAGGGACAGTCACCAGATTGGCCAGTGCAGTAATCATCGTTCCAATCACCCTTGGCTACCCGGCATAGTTTTCCTTCTGTGCTAAACTGTGGGTGAGAATCAAAAATACTCCAGCTATCACTCTTCAGCAGCAGAGATCAAAGAGTCAAACCATGATTCACAACACATTTCAAATCCTCCTCTTCATCTGTCTTGAGGATCACCAAGCAAGGCATCCCTGCCCTGCTACAACTGTGTGTGGTGCCTAGAAGTCCCAGTCTGTCTTATTTACTATGGGGAAATGATTGCAATGAAAGGCTCAATTCCTGAAACAGAAGTTCTACCTGTTGGCCAACCATAAAGTGAAAATCAGTTGGGCTGCCATGAAAAAGCAGCAAAAAGTGAATTGCTGAATTTCTCATGATATATTTTTATTTCTCTACATGGGAAGAAGCATTCATAGAATTTTCTGTCACATGCTGAAAAACTGGTAGCTCCCTTCTCCTGCTGTGAAACTAGGCTTGTGATGGAAATATGCAAATAACAAAATGTTTTGGGCCACTCTGCTCAAAATGTTCATTACAGAGTCCACTGGGATCCCACAAAGAAAGAAGGAATGAGGAACTAGCACCTCTCTTTCATTGGTCCTGCAGCACCTCCAAAATGTTCCACCAAAAGACCTGAATTTGGAGCTTTAGAGAGCAGGTAGAGAACTTAAAGGGGGAAAAGGGCAACTTTACTTCCAGAAGTCTCCTGCACCTATTTCCATCCTAAAAGGCTCAGAGAGAAAAATGTCACAGCATTACCGGAGACCTCTTAGAAGCTTCCAGAAAGTTAGGAAGCTGAGTTAGGGCACCAATCTCAAACATTGCCTATCCTTGTTTAAACTGGGTTTTCATGCAATCTCAGTCAAAGAACAAATATATTATTTTCACAGACATGATTTAACATGCCGAAAGAGTGCATTTGAGATTGAGACAAGACTGAAATTTTGTTAAACTATCCTCTCTATGGATATGTTTATAAGGGCCAAATAAACTGGAAGAAGCGATAGAAATAGGGTTGAAATGTTTTGATCATAGTAATCAGCCAAGAGATATTTACATTTTTATATGGCTAGCTTTGAGCAGGGTAAAATCTCTCCTGGTGTTAAAAATAAACAAGTCTTACTCTGCACTGCTCACAACACAGTCCTTCTGCACACTGTGACCCTGGTGTCAGTCTACACGTTGCAGCATCACAGCATGGATTCTGACAATTCTGAAAACCAAAACATATCAAATGATATCATAGAATTTTCTTTTTTAATTGGTCTATTTTGAAGAGGGAAATTTCTGCAATGTGTTGCCTCTTATGGGTTCATGCTAGCAAATGCACTAATTCTTTGTTATTGCATGCAAATAATGGCATATCTATGTGAAAGAGCCTTATCTGATAGTTCCTATGTAAAAAGAATAAAACAAATAAAAATATCCTCATCTCCTAATTGTGAAGCCCACATAACCTACAGCCCCATTCCTTTCTTATTCATGGGGGATTTTCTACTCATCATGCCAGCCTCTGAGGTAGTCCAGAGAAGAAGCACCAACCATGAGTATTAACACTACCTTGATTGTAAGGTTACAGTAGCAGAATCTTTCAATACTGAAACTACATTTCTACCATCTCATCTTTACGGACCAAGAGAATGGGTGGGAGGTGTTCTTCTTGAGATGTTTGCCATGTCCGATTGCTTCTGCAGGCTAATCTACTTCTTATATGACCATTGAGTAGACGTTTCCTCCTTCTTTTGTCTCTCAAGGACATTCTCACAGAGCATTACAAGTGTATTTAACAATATAAAAATAACGCTAAATTACTGGTCTTATAAAAATATTATTAGTATCAGAGCATAGATTAAAGATCATCAGATATGGGAGAAAGCAGCTCAAGAGAATAGTGGGACAGATAATGAGGCCATGTTGACAAAATAGGAGTTTTCAGGAGGGAAGGATTTTTTGGGAAGTGGTCAATCACCCATTTTTTAAAAACGCCATTCCTCTTCAACTGGTTCTTGTTGATTTAAAAAAAAAGACTTACTGCAGGAGGGCCACAGTCACAATCTTCTCCCACCTCCAGATAGTAATTGCCACAAACTGAAGGTGAAACAATATCTGTCTTCGAGGGTTCATTGTAAAGGCACCGTGATGTAAAATGATTATGAATAATTTCATTCGAATATTGATTAAGACTACAATCGCTGAACCGACTGGAAGGTTCGTTGCTGTAGAGATGAACCAAAATAAAACCATAACAACATCCATATTTGGACTAGGAACAGAATTCATTGCAAAAACATATAAGATGGAAAAGGAATGGCTAATGAAGAAACGCAGTATTTTTTTTCCCTCTAAAGCTAACAAAATAGATAAGAGAACACTATGTATCCCTTGATCTTAGTCCCAGATTATGCTCCCTCAGTTTAATTCCACTAACTTTCCTTTCTTTTTTTAACAAAATACATTTGTAACGAGAACTCCATGTGATATTAGTTGATTGAGCTGCATCTTGTGTTTGAATGGGCTGCCTTTTATTTTCATTTTTAGTCACCCTCTCTGTGGAAAGAAAATAATGTAACTGAAGGAAAAATAGTGGAATTTTGATCCAGTTTTTCTTTTCTTCGTTTGGAGGGATAGTACCTTTTATAACAATGAAGATAGAGCTAAGTATGCTAACTCTCTATTTGCCTTAAAGTATTTGTTGTTGATTTCTTTTGTTGAAAAGTGAAAATATCAGCAACATGCCACTGACCTCTGAAGCTGCATACTTAAACAGATGCAAAGATGGCATCCTAAGCCCAGCAAAGCACCTTCCTAATGTTAATTCAAATCATTAGGAATATAATCATTGGCCCTCAAGTTAGGGGGTGGAAACAAGAACGCAAAAGGAATCTGCTGGTGGCCATTAAATAGACAAGAAGGTCTTCTTCCAAGGTCAAAGTTGCACCAGACCCCTTCTATAGGGTTAATTGAGCAAAATTGTTTCCTAAGCAAAGTCTTCTGTACAAAACACCACAAAGTGTCTAGAAGTATTAAAGAGTAATCACGATGCCCAGAAATCCTTCAGGAAGGACAGGAAAGGCTACGTGGCATTCTCCATACTTCCTGCCCTCCTTGCCATTGCATGAAATGGGAGGCAATGAAGTCCTAGGGCTTTAGCCGAAGAAACCAGAAATTGATCAACAGCTGGGATGCTCACTGAGCCTACACAAAACGCTTACACAAAAGTTATGGGGAGTTTTGCAACTGACAATTGCTAAGAAGATTTTGCTTTCTTTTTCCTTCTTGATGAAGTAAGGGCTAAACTTGCACCCAGAAGAAAATATTGGTAGTCCTTGACTTGCTGTCACAACTGGGACCAGAATTTCCATTGCCCAGGAAGTGAGTCGTGCTCAGTTTTACAACCAGTTTTGTCACTTTGTTAAGTGAACCACACAGTCATTAAGGGACCCAGCTTGCTCCATTGGCTTTGCATATGGGAAGACAGCTGGGAAAGTCACAAATGAGGATCCCAGGAATGAAGGATGCTGCAAGTGTCATAAATACACGATTCTGTGACTGAAGGGAGGCTGCGACGGCTGTAATTGCGAGGACCAGTCGTAAGTCACTGTTCTCAGGGCCAGTGTAACTTTGAACGGTTGCTAAACAAATGGTTGTAAGTCAATGACTTCCTGTACGTTGCTACCTGCTGATTTCAGAAGACTGCAATATGTGACAGAGATGTAACATATTCTACCTTGATGAAAGGGCGAGGCAGGAAAACCCCAAGGATGCTACTTTATCTTTTTCTTCCTGCTGTTGCCTTGTTCAGAATAATTTACCCCCCATTCTGCTTCCCACTTTAGGAAAGTCTTTAACGTCTAACGTGGTTTCCTCTTTTATCCATCACAGATATTAATATTTGGTTTCTTTGCTGTAAAGTGACACACAAATGACAAAAACTCTCTTTTTTTGTAACTCCCCGACCATTTCATTTTTGTACGTTCTCAGCATATTTTATTTAACAATTAATTGCAACCATTTAAAAATGACTTCATTGGAAAGGCATTAAAAGTTTTCCTCAATCCTTACCTTACTGTTGCAGACATAATGCATGAGTTAGCACCGCAAGTACATGAATCTCCGTCATGATGAAAGCCCAGATTATGACCCAGCTCATGGGCCATTCTATTTGCAACCAAATGAGGTCTAGTTCTATGATCCTGAAGATAAGAGAATACTTTGTTTATTGTTAGTCAACCAAGAAACTGAAAGTGAATCCAATTATTTTTAGCACTAAGTAGCTAAAACTGGTGACTAAGTGATCAATTTTAAGTTGAGGGTACCATCTCAGGATTCCTCTAGCTCTTCTGAATGTATGTGTGCCCACCAAGACTCCAGAACGTACACAAATACATCCAGAAGGAAACTTTAAAGCCCAGAAGCCACAGTACAGGAGAAGATCAAAACTTATGCACCATTTGCTGTCTGCATTTATTCAGTTACTAAAACTTACAGGCAACTTCAGTCCAAAAACTACTCAATGTCTTTTGCTACAAGCTAGCATTTTCAGAATATTGAAGGTAGCCATCCTGTACAGACTTAAGAATGAGTTGCTCTTTCTGAATAAAATGACCTTCTTGAGCAAGCAGGCTTACGAATACCTCGTAATACCAGGATCCTAATTCTGCTTATTAAGAAACAAAACTTTATGAGTTTTCTTGTATAAGTTTTGTTTATTGCCATGTCTCTCCATTCTTTCTATGTGAACAAAAAACTAAGTTTACTGTTTCTCAATAAATGCATAGCATCACCTTAACTAATGTGGTTTTCTTAAAATACTGGAGTTTTTTTCTTTTTTAGTAGATTTAGTATTCTTTCATTTTCTCAATGTACTAGAATTCAGTCATATGCAATCTAGATACTAAATTTCTTGGAAGGGTGATTCATGTTTGTCATTAGGATTGCTAAGAATATTGTTCAGAAGCCTTATTTGGAAGTATTGCAACATGATTTCTCCTGCCCATTTGCCAATTAAAGCACAGTTTGACTCCTCCTGATCCAGAAACATTATAATATATTGTCGTCTTTGACATATAGCTCATTGCATACAAAAAGCTCGTTCTGCAACCTATCTAGAATGCATTGTGCCAAAATGCCGTCAGTTGAGGCAGGACCTGGAGATGTCAAATACATAAATAGGTATGTATGAAAATGACGTGGATCAAAAATAAGAAGAGACTTCATTTGTAAAGAAGTTATGCCTGTATGTAAGTTTTCACCTGAGTACAAATAGATAACAGGTGTCCTTTGTACTAACCCGAACAATTCCTACAGAACGCTTCGAGTCGCACATGCTCTCTTTGTAAGCCCTTCCTTCGATTTTTTCATTGAAGATCATGCCCCTATAAGAAAGATGGGGAGGGGGATAGAATTTATAGAAGATAGAAGCACATTATGTAGGGGCATACATAACTTTCTATGGCTTTCTGCAAACCCCTCGTCCAATCCTCATTTACTACCAGTTTTCAGAATGTTAGAATTCATTTTAGGCTCTAGTCTCAGAAGCCGTTTAACTAAGAAGGTCTGTTAAACATATTCAGGATGCATTTTCACTGTATGGTGAGTCTGGCTGGTGTTAGCATGAATGAGGTTGGGGAGAAGGGTTAGCATGTTGTCTGAATCCAGCCCATTGGGTTAGTTTAAATCCCATTAACTATGGAAACCCCAAAAACATATTTATTTAATACATTTTGTCTAACAGTTTAGCTGTGGGGTTATTGAACACTAGATGATATTGGAAAAGATGACTGGATGACAAGTCAAATCAACTTCTGTGGGAAAATAAAATGGATTTTCTTGGGTAGTACTTAATATGCTCCCTTGCACTTAGATCTGCCCTCTATCTAGCCCCTTCCATATTTCATAAGACCTACTTGTTATGCACTGTAAGATTGCTAACCATACAATTGTTACTTGAGCAATATCTTATAGATATAACACAATAAACATGTCAATTTTCCACTCATGATCTATAGGCTGATGGGGTGTGGAACTGAGCAGTTAAGACAGTGGGCTTGTTGACTGGAAGGTGGACAGTTTGAGACCCAAGTTCTGCCTGATGCAGTGAGCTCCCGTTACTTGCTCCATCTCCTGCCAGCCTAGCAGTTCAAAAGCACAGAAACACAAGTAGATAAATAGGTACCATTTTGGTGGGAAGGTAATAGCATTCCATGTGCTTTTGGCATTTGATCATGCTGGCCACATGACCATGGAAGGATCTTTGGACAATGCGGGCTCTTGAGCTGTGAATCAGAGTTGAGCACAAATCCCTAGAGGTGGATATGACTGGCAGGGAAACAGTCTCTCTCTCTCTCTCTCTCTCTCTCTCTCTCTCTCTCTCTCTCTCTCTCTCTCTCTCTCTCACACACACACACACACACACACACACACACACACACTCTTTATTGCTAAACATTATATATAGATTGGATATTTTATTATTTTACTTTATTCTTGGTTTATCTATTGTATAATGCAATTGTTCATTTGGCTGGTGCAGAATGGGAACAAAAACATTATTTAATTGAATTAAAAATGCATGTGTAAGTAGAGCAAAAGTATAGCAGGATAATCATATAAGTTTCAATTTTAAATCCAGGTGAAATGAAATCAAGCTGAGTTTTTCACCTGCACTCATTCAAAACCAGCTTTCATCTACAAAAAAAAGTGCTCTGTGCAAGCACTAACCTCCCCATTACCCTCCACTCCCAGCCACCCCCACTCCCTTCCCCCACAATGAGACGTACGTGAGTAACTGAGCATTATCATGTCTTTTGCGCTTCAGAAAATCTCTCTCTCTCCATTCTCCAAATGAGTCCAAAGTATCATCTGCTGATAATGTGACGTTACTCAATTCTCCGCTGGACCAAATTTCTAGGCCAATCAGAGCTACACGAATTTTCAAAGGTCTGTAAATCTGTCAGGTGGACATGACATCAATCAGAAACTGAAACACAAGTAAACTTTGAGAAACATTTCAAGATTAAAAAGCAACTAATATTGGCTTCTATAAGCAGGTTTCTTTTCAGAGATCATTTTCATAATCAACTGAGCTTGGAATAGGCTGACTCTGTCCATCTCTTTCTAATCTCCCAGTTCAGAACCATTAACAACAGCCTGAAAGAATCCAGCTACAGATATAGCTCTGATTGAATTCTTAAAACACTTTTGGATTTGCATCCTCCCAACACAGTGGCTGTATTCCCATAAGAGGCTTATTAATCTAGTTACTGAATTAACCCATTTTCTGGGATGGCCTCACATGTTGGATCACCAGCTGGCCAAATGACCTAGTTTGGCCTCACTCAAAGCCACAGAAGTTAGCATTCTTATAGAAATCCATCTTCTCTCTCTCTCTTTACCTGGCTAAGTGTGTTGTGCTAACACAGTGAAAATCTGAGCTGGGGCTGAGAGAAATTTAAAATCAACAAGTGAAATAATATTTGCCATGTCCTCTTACCTCATTTAAATCATTGGCAGTTTCATATATTTTTGAACTTATCTCAGTTTTATCACCGTCATATTTTGTGTACTACAGAAAAGATAAAACTGTTAAGATGAGATCATAATTATAGGAAGAAGGGAAAGAAGGAGGGAGAGAAAGAACATATCAGTGAAAGGATCATTGAATTTGTTGATGTAATAATAATTTTTATCCAAGCAGTCCAAAAAATTCTTTTGTGCTGATTTTTTAATCTACATTTCTGCCATTAATTTATTAAGGTTTTTAACTTTTCAGCAACATTCATGGGCTTTTTTCCTGGTGGGAGAAAATTTTGGTCAGCCTACTGAAATGCTTTCCTAAATTGGATGCTATATTTCATTGTTCAGAGATGTGTGCGATAAGCATTCTTCACTATAGATCTTTTTCTTTGTGTGTTGTCAGCTTGGACAAATGATCCTTAACTTTGTAAATATTAGTTGGGTCCAATAACAAAAAATATCAAAGTTTATGATAAAGCACATTTTAAGAGACAGCCAGTTAGGATGTTTATTAATCTCTTCAAAAATGCCCACATTAAAAAAGCCACAAACAAAATACTGTGCTCAATGCAGAAAGAAAATGAAAAGATATCCAGGATACTTACCATTCTGTGGTCTGCAACTATGACAAGCTCAATGTATCTTTGTTCCTAAACAGAACAATAAACAAAAAGCTGTTTAGACATGTTGCTCCCAGCAGCCAACAAGAATGTTGGTTACCATCAGATAATCAGAAAAGTCTTATTTTACACTTTGGTCAAAATACTTGAACTTTCAGAAATATTGGTTCTTTCAAGAAGACATTTATAGGAAGACAGCTTGTTAAAACTTTAGCCCTGAGCCTTGAGTCCTTCGGAACTGGGACATGGAAGTGGCAGGTGAGCGCCTGCATCTCCATTTGCATGACCAGCGAACAAACATGGGTTGTGTGTCCTCTATTTGCATGAGTGGGTGTGTGTGCCCTCTGCTCGCACAAATAGAGCTGGGTTTGACCCAGCTGCTCAATGTAACCATCCCCTCCCCGCCACCTGTCCGCAAAACTGGAAAGTTTTGGGAATTCTGACTTAGAGAAAGTGGTGACAACGTTTTGAGGAAAAAGTACATTATGCAATGGATTGTCAAGCACAAACAAAAGTGGTCACCTTAAAAAAAGTCACTTTCTTTATATTAATAACGTATGGCACTTGTTTCCAGTTAATCTGTTTTTGGAATTTATGATGCTTACATTTAAAGATAAAAGTATATATGAATACCTAATTCTGAGCCAAATTTAATAGGAATAAGAACAGGCACGTGAGGAAATTGCTCTCTTTGACCTGTTTTTCAGCCTGTCTAAATGATGCTCCAATGACTTTCTCACCTTTCCTTCCCTTTCTCAAACAAAGGATCCCAACCAATCACGTGAGAAACACTGTGATGTGGTCATTCTATGGAACCAATTAGACCTTGCCTGCAATCATATCACACTACGCATCAAAGACAAGGTAAGGGGAGGCAATCAGACATTTTGACCCACTGAACTCACTCTTAATGGCCAAAGAATTATGCCTTTCTTTTCATGTAATTTTAAAATGATTACTGAAATATTGTTTCAGACCTCTCAGGCAGAAGGAACAAAAAAACATGGTTAATTGCTCAGAGTAGTTTCTTTATTGCTGTTCTCGTATAGATGGGGATCTTGCCAGACTAAAGCACACTGTGTGTAACCATGAGATACACCCTGTGAAGGTTTTAGGGAGGATCCCTTCAGGGCTTCTTTCTGCCATCCAAGGACTCATTGCTCATCTGCCTCTTATTTCTCTGGGAAAAAGCCCCTCCCTCCTGCATTCCCCTGTTAGATTCCACCAGTAGAGGACACAGATTGGTCAGGAAGTAGACTTATGCTGAGACCTGAATGTGTGAGGGTGCGTTACTTGCTTCTTTCCCTAGGAAAGTACACTCGTGTTTTTTCAGCACACAGAACTACAAGGCCAAATTGCCAATTCCAGAGTGCAATTTCTCTCCTTGCTCTCTGACAGCCACTTTCTTAACTCTGCTGCACAAGATCCAGTTTGAATAAAGTGATGATGACCTAACATTGAGACAAGGACATTCAAGATAGAGGACCAATTAATGTATATAAACACAACTTGCTGAGGATAAAGATTCTTAAATTGCCAGAAACCCTGAAGCCAAAAGGCAAACCAGATTTCACAATTAATTTTGGCATCTTCACTTATCTTTTGGTATTCCATTATAACAACAACTGCTGTTCCATGTCAATTTTAACATTTTAATAAAAAAGTTGAGATTTTGAACTTCTAGATATGTATCAGGCAGTTTCATCTTTTGCCACCAAAAGGAAAGGAAGGAACTGTTACTTTGGATGCAATGTTTTGTTTTCTAATTCTTGTGCTTCCAGTGAAGAAGGAAAATATTGGGAATATGAAGGTCAATTGTGACCAGATTCAATTTGTCACTTTTTATTCAATCATTGCTAATATAACTTGATGATTCAAATCAAATTGGAAAATGGAGTCAAGATTATATAATGATCTTATCAAAAATCTCAAAACCGTTAAATATTTCAAACCAGTTTCTCCCCCATCCCAAGTCCTCTCTGCATGCATAAAAGAGGCATCCAAATTGATAATTTGATTATTTTTCAAAATTGACTTAGAAAGTGGAGAAGATTTGGAGATTCATTTAAATCCATTTTGATTCAAATCTCCAAACTAAGTTTGTATGACCAAAGAAAATGCTATAAGCCTGGAACATGCATTTTCTGTTCATCATATTTCCATTATTTCTTTTATACCATGGCTAGAATAAAAAGATAGAAATGGGGGGGTCCTCCCTTTGGAATTCTATCTAATCACCCCCCCCCCCCCGAAAGATTTTCTCTCTTACTTTTTCGAAACAAGTAAATGAATCCCGGTTCTCAAACCATGTTTACTATGAGACTTACTTCAGGAGGAATCATTATCTGAGAAACCTTTTTGATGGGCTCATCTGATTCCCAATTAGTCTCGGTTACCCCACACATTTTGGGGGCCTCATCCTCTTTTTCTACATTTTCATATTTGTAGACTGCATGGGCTTCACTGTCGGGAAGCTTCAAGGGTTCAATAAAGTATGTCTCCCCTTGAAGCTTGAAATGTCCTCTGTAAAACAATGTGGAAAAGGGTGATCAGAGATGGAGAAGCAACAGAAGAGAATATTATTAGGTCAGAGATAACCTGCACTGATGATGTTACCTAGTTGGGTAATGAAACTCAGCTCTGAGACCCATTTTTAACTAACTAAGTCAACATTCTCTGTGTTTTTAAATCCCTTCTTAATACTGCAATGCAGAATAACTTGAATAACACTGAAGAATAAAATGCAGACCAACAAGGAGCTGGATGAATGGTTGCAGGAACTGGGTACATTCAGGCTAATCACAAGAAGGAGTAGAGATGACATGATAGTCTTTCAATGTGGGACAACCTATTCTCCAAATCACTTGATGGCAGGAGAAGAAGCAATGGATGGAAAGTAATCTAGGAGAGAACCAACTTAGAACTAAGGAGAAAATTTCTGACAATTGGAACAATTAACCAGTGGAAACGTTTGCATTCAGATGTTGTGGATATTCCATCACTACTGATTTTTAAGAAGAGATTGACAGCCATTTGTCTAGAATGATATAGGTCTCCTACTTGAGCAGGAGATTGGACTAGAAGACCTCCAAGATCCCTTCCAATGGTGTTATTCTGTCATTCTGTTTTTCCTTTATTATTCTGTTGTTATTCTGCTGTGTTCTATCTTTTCATTTATTCTTCCACTGCATGGACAGAGTCTCTGTTCAAAGGGGATCTTTCAGTGTCTTCCTTCAGTATCAGATATTGAGAGGACATTGATTCTGACTAATGAAAAGGACCTTCTGAATTTTGGGATCTTTATGTGGCTAAGATATCAAGCTGGCTGGAGAAGGTGTGCAGAGTGGCTCAAGAAAGTGTTTCTGGGTAGAACTGAAGAGTCTGCTTGCCTCTTCCTGTACACTTTCTAGAAAGGAAAGCAGTCTGAAACCTACTAATCTTTTCTACCTGTAACATCACTTCCTATATGTAAAGGAGACAAGGGCTTGGAAGCTCCTTTAGACACATCTGATTTAGCTCCCTTGTATCTCTATTGGCTGGCAGCAGCTCTTCTTGGTATTCAGCCAAAGTCTTTCTTAATTCTGCAGAAGTCTTGGATCACACCCAACTCATTTGCATGAAAAACTGATGCCCTCCATTTTAACTGTGACAACTCCAAGAACAGTATATTATTCTTTAATAAAATAAATAAAAGATTAGAGACTATCTTACTTCAAACCATTGCATGCACTGATGCTTGCAGTTGAGTCAGCATCATTCTGGATGCGTCCATGATAATAGCAGTGATCCTGGAGGGAGACAAGAGGACTAAACTAGTTAAAGCTTGTTTGTAGTGTGATTTGATGAGCAGAAGTACAGTTCCAATGTATTCCACCACATCAAGGAAATATTAAGACAGCAGTTATTCAGAAAACTTTGATTTAGGGGGACAGAAGACTTGCTTAATATTGATTGTTGCAAAATGAACATAGGATAAATGCAAGTCTCCATAAAGCAAGTCACACTGTAGGGGGAGTCCCACTGATGACACAAAACTAAGAACTTTTGGGCAGACAACCAACATACAGTACAAATATAAAATGTTCTCTTGGAGGTCAACTCTAGTGCTGAACCACAGGATTTGCTGAAGAAACTTTCAGACTTGATGGTTGTCCTACGTTCTGAAATCTTACCATAATGTATGAAAAATTCCACATTTACTAATGATACCAAATAATCATTATTTCCTTGAGCTCACACAAGGAAAGTTTCAGAATATACAGGGAGGTATAATTCCTAGCATTATTTGGAAGCAGGATCCATGTAGACAGTAAAATCAAGAGATGTTTGTTACACACTAAGTGGGAGCAATTTTTATGACCTTTGAAGATGCTAAGCCAGAAGTAGATAATTTTGGAGACAGTGGATGCATGTTTAGATCAATTTGGGGGCAAGGAGCCAAAGACTTCATAAAGCATATTAGTGCTGTTTTATTTTTCTTTTTTTTGGGCAGCTGGTAGGGCCATGTTCTGTACTCTTTTAATGTGAAAGATATTATATGGATTTCTGTATAGGAGCAAAGTGAATTGTTATCAGGTTTGGTATTACAAATAAAAGACTTTGCATGTATCCCTGTAGTCTGGTTTAAAAATGAAAATATAGATCTTATAAAAATGAAAATATAGATCTTATAAACCTGATGTTCTCATAATAAATCCATTTGTAAAACTAAATCCCCAAAATGTTGGCTTTCAACCAGTAGGAAAGAACTGCATGGTTGAAATACTGCCATACTAATTCAACGAGTAAAACAAACTGGATTTAGCAATCCATATATCCTTAGAAGAACATATCAATATGTTCTTACTTCATACATATATGGCCCTTCTTTTTTGAGTAGCCTGGTCTCGTTCTTGTATATTTGTAATATTGTGCACAAACATTTGCTTCAATTTACTTCCTAAAAGCAAGACTCTTAAAAGTGAGACCCTACCTCAACCGGGGGGTATGTTGTAATTTCTCTGCCATCAGGGGAATAATGAGTCTCACTGTAATCTTTTGAAAAAAGTCCTCTGCAAAGAAGAGAATATCTATGTCAGATGACAACTAACCAAGGAGAGAAGCAACCTAGAACTAAGGAGAAACTTCCTGACAGTTAGAACAATTAACCAGTGGAACAACCTGCCTCCAGAAGCGGTGAATGATCCAACACTGAAAGTCTTTAAGAAGATACTGGACAGCCATTTGTCCAAAATGGTATAGGGTTTCCTGCCTGAGCAGGGGGTTGGACTCAATGACCTCCAAGGTCCCTTCCAACTTTATTATTATTATTATTATTATTATTATTATTATTATTATTATTATTATTATTATTATTATTATTATTATTATTATTACTACTACTATTATTATAGTTGTTGTTATTGTTATTGTTATTGTTATTGTTATCATTATCGTTATCGTTATCGTTATCGTTATCGTCGTCATCATCATTATCATTATTAAGTAGGACAGAGGTAGTTTTATAATAAGTTTAAAACTTCTGTATAATGGCATTTTAAAGATCTTGTTTGGTATGAAAAAAATGGAGCAGATATTTAACATTTAATTTAGTGTTAATTTCCAAACAAAGGAATGCCATTATTATTTCTCTTAGATTGTGTCCAGGAACATACATTTTCCACATTGACCAAGTACAGTTAAGAAATAGTCTGAGTTAACATACTTATTTTTTTCCAGGTGAAGGACCACTGGCTCTTCATTCACTTTAAATTCATATTGCATGGTGTCTTCATACTGAAAAGCAAAGAGTTCAGGGTTTACTTCTTAAAAAATTAGGCAAATAAAATGTGTACCCTTTTAACAACTCTACACCTGTATCAATTTAAATCTAATGAATAATTTGCCATAGCCAAATTATTCGTGAGATTTAGAGTATTTCATCTGGCGCTTTGAACCGTAAGATCTTAAAATGACATTCCTGCGTAAGTTCTTAGTCCTAATCTTGATCTGTGACCACTATACCATCTTCCCCTAGAAACACATCTTTTATATTTCTAAGTGATGCAGAGTTTAAATTAAGTACTTTACTGTACTCTGCCTATAATACAGGAATCTCCCTAGACTTCTGCCCTTCCCTTCAGAACTGATAGATAAACTTTAATGGAATTTCCTGGTTTAGGGGGGGTGGGATGTCAGTCCTGGATCTGTTGCAACTATGAAATGACTCAAGGCTAATTCCCCATTCAATCCCTCCTCACTGTTCGGCTGGGTGTTTCCCAACACTTGCTTAGTTATACTAACCTATAAATATTAGGAAATTCTGTTTGTAAGTTGCCATGAGTCTCCTCAATTTGGTATGAATTGGGCGGCCATATAAATTTGTTTAATAAATAAATAAATAATTCAAACAGGAACATAGATTGCAATGCAAAATCCAGATAACCGTTAGATGGCAGAAAAGGAATATCAAAATTTCTGTGGGCTGACAAGAAATCATTTGTTGATGAAACAAAGATCTTTTTCTTACCTTTGGCTGAACGGCTCCTTTGGGCAATGCAGTGACTTTTCGTGGATACACGACTTCATAATCATTAACATTCCCAGATTCCAGGATTATAGAGCTCCCTTCGTAAGGAAAAAGAAAAGTAAGATTTGGTTTACTTTAGGATGTTATTCTACCATTCTCACATCCACGACACAATTTGTTATTCAGTTCTCAGTGAAGAATGGAATCTTTTTCTAGTGGGACACAGCACAGAAATCCAGATTTTCTCTGGGAATGCGATTTGCTGAATGATGTTTGGGAGATGGAAGTCTAAGTGGAGACATTACTTTGGGCAGGTGCAAAAGAAACATTTTGGAGCTTGAATAATCAGAAAAATAAATAAATAAATAAATCTCAACCAAAGTGCAAGTTTGTGCACTGAGTGATAAGGATAACACCAAGAATTGTAAATCACAATAATCTGATTCACAGAATTCAGTAAACCATACTGCATTATGGTTTAGCATATCAATTAGTCAAAAAGCTAGGGAAACTTAGATTTTTATGCAAATGCAGCTTATTAGGAATTCCTTTCAACTGAACTGCTATTTCACTGCCATCCTAATAGTGTTTCTGACTTTCCTTTTTTTCATTTTCAAAAGAATCTATGGACAGCCCACAGCATCATAATTATCACTGGGGTACCTAACAACACTGGGGTACCTAACAACATGTAAATAATGTAGTGATTTCAGAATTTGACTAATAACTGAAAAATTTAGAGTTGGCCCCCATATGGACATTGCATGGTCACTTGCTATTTGTTCCTTAACTTATTTTGTAAACGTGGCAGTCTGACACCTGCAGGTCCTCTTGGATCCACAATCACAACTGAGACCAAGATTTGTTAGCGGATTAATGGAAGGGAGGGGGTAAGGTTGTGCTTATAATTGCAAGTGGA